GCCTTGTATCCCAGAAAGCTAATATCCAAAGCATTGCCTTCAGTTGGCCCTGTGTTTCGGATATCCAACTTTCAGATGAAGTCAATCTTCAGTAAGACTTGTATCCCAGAAGCATTGCCTTCAGTTGGCCCTGTGTTTCGGATACCCATTTTGAAGAAGTGAAGAAATTGCTTATTCAGCTGAAGTCATACTTCAATTTTTGGGGGGGCAAGAAGCACTATCAGTGCAAGTATGTTCGGCAGAATTGAAGAAACAGAAACAGTAAAGCATTCAAAAATAAAGCAACTGAAGAAAAGAGCATCAGATATATAATTCATGCTCAAAAATTGAGCTACAAGTTCAATTTAACAGTATCGGCAGCCGCCCACAAGCGGAAAATAACAGCTGCCGAAATACGTACATAAGCAAAAAAAATAAAACTGCTGTACGACAAGGCAAGCTGAAGCAAAAAACAAGGCAAAAAAATTCAGAAAGCGGCAAGTCTAAAGTTAAGCACATGATGAACCGCAAGATTCTGAAGACGACTGCCCGAGTTCCTATGCTTCAGCCTGAGGATCAGACTGATCAGCGTTGAGCCCCATGGTGGCCTCAGCCCAGCAGCAGAAGAAGCGGGCTTTGCACTCTGCCGAGCCTCCCTTTCCCTCTGTTCAGCTTCCAACTCCATTCTCTCAGCTTCCTCTTCGGCTTCCTCGGCCTTAAGGATATCAGCTTCGGCTGGAGTTGCATACTTCATATGAGGGTCTTCGGGATTCTGGACCCACTCAGCACACTTAGACCAGTCTAGCTTCGGATCAGCATGAAGGCAGACTCTTCGGCATACTCGGAACCCGTTTCTGAAACCCATCTCATATTCCTCTTGGGTATAGACACGGACTTTGAGTAGAGCCTCAGCATCAGCCAGCTTCTTCTGGGTCTCCTCCAAGTCTTCCTTGGATTTCTTCAGCTCATCAGCGAGCTTGGAGGAGGAACCTTTCAGCTCGTTCAGCTCCTGCTGAATTTGGGAAGCCTTTGTCTGGGCTTGGGCCACTTCAACTTTTTGGATCATCAGTTGATCCTCAGCCTCATGGAGTTCAGCTCTCTGAGCTTCGGCAGCAGCAGCAGCCTCTGAGAGTTGGACATCTTTGGCATGGAGCAGCTCTTCAGCAGCCATTCGGCTGGCTTCAAGAGCCTCTAAACGTTGCTGCACTTCAGCTTGTGCATCAGCTCCTTCCTGAATTCGGCTCTCAACAGCAGCCTTGAATTTGGAGACGTCCACTCCCATATGCTCCTGGAGGAAGTTTTCCACTTCTATCAGTGGGGGAAAAACTTCCTTCTCCATAGCGTCGCAGAAGGTTTTGAGGGCTTCAGCAGCTCTTTTCTCATACTCCTCACCCTTCTGCTGCTTCTCTTCAGCTGCTGCTTGCTTCAGCTTAGCAAGCTTTACTTCCTCTTCAGCCACCTTCTTGTCGTGCACAGCAGCGTCTACCCTATCTTGTAGGGTATCTATCAGCTCTACAGTGAGAGTCTGATTGTGCACGAACTGAAAAAAGGAAGACAAAAAAAAAAAAAAAATAAATAAAAAAAAAATATAAAGAGCTGAATTTCAGAGGAAATGAAGACAAGGAAAATTACCTGCATCATCAGCAGTTGGTTAGACCTGGCTGGGTCAGGAACTGATCTGCTGGATTCGCCCATCCCAGCAGTGGCCTTCAGCGACCAGATCCTTGCCCTGTCTACTTCGGACATGCCAGCAAAATCGCCGAAGTAGGCTGCAGCTCCTTCTCGGTTCTGACCCCATATGAGGTCCCAGATGTGGTCTGGGATTGGAATTCGGGGGGCCGAGAAACCCATTTCTCCAGAATGCAGAGTCTGGAAAGAAGGGAAGGATGACGATGGAGCTTGATTAGCTTTGGTTGTCTCAGCATCATCCTTCTCAGAGGAGTCAATTACTATGACCTCCTCTTCTTCAGGGGTGAGGACGAAAGCCTCAACCTCTCTTGCGATATCTGCCGTGAAGCCCTCAGCACTGGACATCACGGCATCCTTGTTTTGGTGCTCAGCAGCACTCTCCTTAATTTCTTCTTGGACCCCTCCCTTAGATTCGGGAGTTTTCTGATCCACCTCCATCTCAGGAGGTGGCGGAGGGGTCTTTTGAGGTGATTGGGGTGGTGGCCGGGGAACCCTCGGCGATCCATTGCCTTCATCGGGTTCCCTTATTGCAACGCCGATGGTCATCGGCCTCCTCTGAAAGTCATGAGGGCCGATGATGGCCATCCTTCGGCGCCTTTTCAGAAGGGGCTGCTCGTCCATATCTGAGTCTGAAGACTCTTGTATTTGGTCTTCGGGACGAACAGGAGCTTTGCCTTCTCTGTGTCTGTTACTCTCTTCAGACTGTAACAGACAGGGGGGAAGAAGAATGTAAGTAAAAAAAAAAAAAAAAAGAAGAAAAGAAAAAAAAAAAAAAAAGTTGTCTGAAAGCTCACCGAGGTCTTCAGCAAAGCCTCGTCTTCTTCAGCTGCTCTAGCTGCAGCTTCGGCTTCAGCAGCTCTGGAGGACCCTTCTCCTCCTTCGCAAGCTTCGAGAACCCGTGCAACCTCTTCGGCTGTGCGGGCAGCTTCAGCTTCTTCGTCCAGCAGCTGAAACCAGGGGTCTCTCTTCTTCCACCAAGGCTTCTGCCTCTGATATAGAGCAACAGCCTCAATTTGGAAGTGGGAAGAGTCTAGATGAACTTCCCTATGCCTCGGCTCAGTGATAGACGGGGCCCGTTCAGTTACAACTCGTTCTCGGTTGACACCAAGACGAGCGTAGTTAATGCCAACGTTGGTCTCGTCCCGCTCTGAAAAAAGGAAAAGGGAAAGATTAGCTCAGATAGGTTGGCACAGCATAAAAAAGCAAAGCGAGAGAAGAAAAAGAGGTAGTTAAAAAGCCTCGGCCCCAGCCGAAGAAGCTTACCATCCTTAAACTTTCGGCTGAGGCCAACAGCTGCTAGCATGTTCTCTTGGAAAACGTAATGCGTATCGGGGAGCCAAGTCTCCGAGATATGCTGCATTCGGCCACTGCCCCCCCGGTTCGGCAGCTTGCCGAAGATATGTTGCTGATCCAGGTTCGGATCCGCCCCGTTATCTGCGGGGGGACCTAGACTTCCCATTTCGGGATCAGGCTCAGCGAGGTACCGGGGAGCGCTGAAGACGCAAGGGTGGCCCGGATCTGTGGGTGCCCTAACCCAAATCCATTGACCTCTCCAGTCCTTGTCTGAAGAGTCGTTTGGCCACATGGTTAGGTATTGGGGCCGGGACTCAATCCGGTACCACCCAGAACCATGGCTTCCGTGCCCACTTTGAATATTTGGCACTAGCCGATGGAGCTTTTTGAAGCAGTGCAGGTTCGGCACGTACTTGAAGAACTTGCAGACCCATAAGTAAGTCATCACCCTTCGGATGCTGGTGGGGGTTAACTGACATAGAGAGATGTTGTAATGGATCAGCAAGTCTCGGACGAATACGTCCAAAGGGAACCTCAGCCCATACTGAAGCTGTCTTGTGTACACCCCCACATACCCCGGGGGTGGACGATGGATTCTATCGGATGCCGAGGGCATTCGGCACCAGTACCCATCAGCTTCAAAAATGCCGTAATGCAACTCAATTTGCTCGGCAAATCGATATTGATCGGCATTCTCCACCCACCATGAGTAGGGGCGGTTCTTTATCATGGCTGAAGCAACTTCGGCATTCTCCCATTCTGAAAACCCGGGGAGGATATCCCAAAGGACAGCGGGAACTTCATCATCCCGTCCAGAAGCGCTCGGCTCCTCCGTTCTCTGAGGAGGAGCCGAGGAAAGGGGAGTCGCCCTAATCCCTTCAGCAGGGTCAGACTCCGGCCTTTGACCATTCCAGGTCCCAATCCTGTTCCTAGGATCGGGAATCAGCCTTGCTCTTCTTGGAGCACGGGCTCTACCTCTAACTCCTCTTGCCATTGATTATTTCGAAGAAAAAAGTCGAAAGAAAAGGGGAAGGAGTTCGAATTCGAAGAAAAATAAACTGAAATCAAAGGAATTTACCTTAATCTGAAGCGAAAGTTGCCGATTTACGAGTTCGTAGTGGCAAGTCTCAGTTTCTAAGCTTAATGCTCGGGGAATTTGCGAAGTTTTGATGCGGGTTCTTGGTTTCTCTCTCGAGAATTCTGGGTTTGTGTTGGTGAATAAGTGAGGAGAAATGACGCGCCTCTGTTTATATCTCCAGGTACGGGATACGAGGAGTCTGCGTTTTAATTTCTCTTAAGTACTCCACTAAGTAACCGTTAAACACATGATCTTGTGATTAAACTGCCCATTATCCGTCCAACTTCCACAATCATTAACCGTTGTTATCTCATTAGTTACGGTTTAAATTCAAATTTTTGGATTAATTAAATCATTTACTTCCCTCCTTTTCTGAATTAAATCAAACCCGACCCGTCATCCTTCCAAATCGGGTCTGGGGGGCAAGTTGTTTGGGTCCAATTTAGTCCAAATTGGGCCTAAGCACTAAATGATCCAATTAAAAGCCCAAGGTCAAGGTTCAACTCTCCAATTGTGCAAAAGTCAAGGGTCAGCCCACAAAGCAAGCCAATTGGGCTAAGGCCCAACCTCTCCATATATGATGAGGTATAAAAGCTATCATATTGTCTCATTCAAGGGGGGATTCATATTCACATTCATATTCATTCATAGATTCACATGTTGATTCATACATTCTGAGATATTCCATAAAAGCCTCAAGCTACAAACTCTCTTGCATAGTGTCTTCCTCTTACACATTGTACTGACTTTAGCATCGGAGGGGCCTTCCTCGGCAACACCCCCGAGGCTAGTTTACGTGTGTTTACTGTGCAGGAAACCTTCGGCCCAACATAACTTGGACCGAATCCAGTCTTCTCCATTTCAGCGGACCTTCGGCAAGGTCCCATTGTTTTCACCCGAAACACTCATTAACTAATATGGAGTAATACGTATATAACTATGATTTTTCTGGTATATTCAGGTTTGAAGAAGTGAATACATATGAAACCAAAGCACCAAACTGGGAATTGGCACATCCATTCCCGGAGAATTTTTATCCATTGCATGTTGTCATTGGGGCGGCTGGTGAAATGTGGAAGGCTGAGCTTATTCATAATAGTTGGGACCATGGTACCTTATGTCATGGCTCCTACAAGTTTACTTCCACCTAAATTAGTCTATCGCTAATTTAACGCACACACGCATTATTGTTGTCCTTGTTGTTGTATTGTGTCTTCTTTTTCAAGTATGTACTCCGTATGTATTATTATTATCTTTGATGATTGCTATGAGCCTATGATTATATTAAAAAGTTAAGCAAATAAAGAAGTTTGTAAAGTCAGTGCATAAGTGCTGAAAATCATTGTTATCATATTGTGCTTCTTAAGTTTATATACAGTGGCGGACCCAGGATTTTCCGACTGGTGAGTCACAATCGATAATCAAATATGTTAAAATCTTACATGAAAACAGTGAACATAGGAAAGAGAGGTGGAAGGAAATACCAAAGTAAGGCACCAAATGTATATATAGAATCTATGTTATTAAGTTGAGAATATAAAAACTTGTTGAGTAATTTGTATACATTCTCTAACCGTAAACAATCAAGCATTAGACATGAAGAGCAAATCAATCCATAGAGTAGCATAGGCCAAGAATAACACCACTTAAGCAATGGTAAAAAGAAAACTTACCAACTTTCTTCTGCGTTTCTTCATTGATTGAATCTAGATGAGCCTGCAAAGACATAATGGTAGAACCGTAAAAACCAATTTGTGACTTGGCCACAAAACATAAAAAAAAAAATTAAAAAAATAAAAAGTCAAATCTTATTTATATAGGTTTCTCAAAACAAGCATATTGGATGTGCAAAATGAAAGAAGTAACATATTCGATCATACACATCATAGAATTTGACATAATTAACAAAAAGCTTCACATCAAAAGCCCCAAATATAACCAAAGAAATGAAAGCCTAGCAAAATTGGTCGTGAAGATCATCCAATTACAGTCCCAACCAAAGGGGTTAGACGAAAACATAAGCATTGATACTCGATATTCAGTATCTGACAATATACTACTCATAAGATTCTCTCCTCAAATTAATCCAAAATTATCGAGCCACAACCATTTCGACATCCATCAACAAAATACACCCAGATGCTCCCCACTAATCATCCAAAATCCAAACTGGAACCTAACACACCATAGATAACAGTTCCATCATCACTAATCAATTAAGTATCAATGAATACTAATCTATAAAACCATATCAACATATCATACATTCATACCATTATTTAAAAATCCTGTTAATCGACAATATCACATTCAAAGAAGCTGCAATTGCAAACAACAATGATACCAATAACCAATTTACTGAGCTGCATACATACCAAAAATATATATTGACCCATTAATCCATTTCGACAGTCAAAACCAAATAACAGGGATTAATAACCCCCCTCAGTCAATAAACAAAAACACAATAAATTACCAAACAATCAACAAAATTAAAGGGCATTATATTATAAAATGAGCCAATCGACCAAATAAAGTCAAAAAATCGAAAACAAATCGATCAAATAAACCCCAAAATAATCGAAAACCAATCGACCAAATAAAGCCAAAAAATCGAAAACAAATAATGATCAAATAAACCCCAATAAAAACGAAGCGATTTTGCTGAAATACACCCACAAAGATTGAACCAAAAAAATTCGAATACACATTGAACATGTCGAAAACAACAGGAACATATATGCAAAAATCCACGACAATCAAACCCAAAAATTTGAAACTAAATCAAGACAGAGAAACAAGATCGAACCTGATAAATGTGACGATGGGAAAGTCAATTAGTCATCTTCCATAACCTCGGACGCGAAGTCACGAACAGAAGAATGGAGATGAGGCGATTAACAATGGAGGCGATTAGGCGGAGAAGGCGAAGTCACGACTCACGATTCACGAAGAGAAGAATGGAGGCGATTAGGCGGAGAAGGACTGAAGGAGAAGTCACGATTCACGAAGAGAAGAATGGAGGCGATTAGGCGGAGAAGGAGAAGCCAGAGCACGAAGAGGCTAGGGCTTGAAAGCCTTGAACTCTCCGTCTCTCCTGTAACTGATTTTAATTTTTTTTTTTTTTTTTTTTTTTTTTTTTTTTTTAAATAACTTAAAAAAAATTTTTGGGCCTGGTGAGTCACTTGACCCACCAGGTCTAAGCCCAAGTCCGCCACTGTTTATATATGAATACAAATTTGCTCTACACGATATTATTAAAAAAAAAATAATTTCCTCTTGTAAAAAAAATTTATAATGTATTAGATTAGTTATACTCCGTATTAACCTATTTATGAATCTATATGAAATTACACAACATTCACATCACCGACAAATAAAATAAAAAAAAAGCTGATTTTATTTCATCCAAGTAAATCCTAGCAAACCTAAAGTTACAAACTCATAAAAAAAAAAAAAAAAAAAAAAGATGATATTGTCATCCTAGACATATTATACTAGTAGTATGAAATAGCCAACATCGAAAACTAGTTCTTTGATTTCTTTCCCAGGAATACAGTTGTGAGCACAGCTTGGGTTTCCAGGGCCGCTTTCAAGATTGCTACCCCCTACATACATAAAATGTAATAGCAACAAGTCACAATAATATATATAATGATAAGAACTGAATTAAATTTCTTGAATGAAATCAAACAAAAGCATGCGATTGTCGATTGATTACCTCTTGAAGAGTAAGTTTAACCTCTTTTTCAGCAACAGAAGCAATATCACTGATATCGAACTTGTTAAGAAGAGTGATACTAGAAATGGTAGACATAGGCTTAACTTCTAAATTATCCATCACCATGTATGTGAAACACAGTAATTATTACGACACCTTCTTAACATATCCATCAGTTTTGCTACTCCAAGCCACTGGCTCTGATGATATTTCCGGGGCAACATAGCTTACCTCAGTAGACATTTTGTTGTTACATTTTGGACAAGTTGCTTCAGGGTCGTCAGTAACATACTCACGGTGACACTCATTCGGATAAGCAGGCGAATTTGAAACACAGTAATTATTACGACAGCGAGAGCAGAAGTTAGCATCAGTTGAGCAACACCTGTAGTAGTGCTTCCTGGAATAAGTTGTTGGTGCATCATTGAGCGACAAGAAAGGGGCACTGGCAGCAGTTTTTGGGTTAAGAACAGAATTTATATCGAAATTAGCCTGTAAGTAGTCACTACTTAAAGACCCGATGCTTTCATAAAGCGATCCAAGGCCACCAACCATGACTTTTACACCAAGGAGTTTGACAATGGTACCTACAGGTAATGACATAATGTGGAACAAAAAATCCACAAAATCCTTATTGGCTTCAGCAAATAAAACTTTGTTTGCATTTGTGTCTATCAGGAGTTTCAAACTTACCTGGCTCTTTGTTGCCATAGTAATTTCGAATTTTCGATAATACTGCTGGATCAGATGGAAAATTTATAAAAGGTTTGAGATCATATTTATACACTCCTACTTATACTGGAATTCTTGATCTACCCTTGAGATATGAAAAGGCTGGAAATAATTATTATTGGCAGTTGCAAATGTGCAAAATGCCAAGCATTTGAAGAGTAGGCATAAAGTCGCCTTACATATTCGTAACTTGTGTTGTTTGAGTTTCACTTCATAGTTACATGTACACGAAAAGGCACCAGCCAGTTTCACTTCATAGTTACTTCATACTTATAAATAAAATACTCTGTAGTACCACACTTCACTAACGTTGTACTGAATTAGTTGAATCAGAGTAATTAATCCAGTAATTAGAGGTTGAAAATAGGATTGTGATACAAAATAAACGCAGCATAAAAAGGCAATTTTTTGTGTCATATTATGAAAATAGCAAAAAGACCAAAGATTTATTTGTGATGATATAATAATCCAACAGATAATCAAAAGGTCATGGATTCATTCATACTAATGATTCACCAAACAAGAAAACAGAAACATCGTGAGATAACCCGAAAGGCAAGTTCTTAGCTAGCCAGAAATAATTAACAAAACAGTCCTGCTTCGAGTGACGTCATCAGTAGTGGTTAATTGAACTATATAAGTGACTACTCCCTTATAGTCACTTAGATATAAGAGTTATATCAGAAATGGTAGACATCGGCGTAACCTGCAAATCATCCATCACCATATAAGTGACTACTCCCTTCACATACCCACCACTCCCATTGCTTGACGACGGTGTACTACTAATACCAGCTGCTGATTCAGCAACATTATCTTTTGGTAACAATAATAATGGAACATCATTAGTCCTTGTCTCTGCCTGCAGCACAGAGTCTCTGTCAAAGTTCGGTTGAAGATAGTCTTCATTTAAACACTCGATGCTCTTGTAAAGCGATCCGAGACAACCAACCATACCACCTTTACCATTCAAGAGCTTTATGACAGTACCAACAGGCAAAGACATAATATGGAACAGAAAATCCACAAAGTCTTTGCCTGCTTCAGCAAACAGAACCTTTTTTTATTTTGTGTCTACTAATAGTTTTAAGCTTACTTTACTCTCGTTTTCCATTTCACTCTGGTTAGTCTTATTAACACTTCTCTTTCTTTTTAGTTTTTTCATTTTTAGAAAGGGATTCTATGCTTTCATGTTGATTAAGGTTAGGTGTGAATTTATATATGGATTATTGGTGTATTACAGTAGCAGATGAGTAATTAAATGTTGCATAGCATGCATGCGCAATAGTAGATTTGAGTTCCAATACTTTCCCACCTATAAACTTTAAGTTTTTTTTAGGGAATTTCAATAGCCTGTTTGTATTTTTTTTAATACTTTTTCCTAATTTTTAAAAAATGTTGTATGCAGTAGGGCGTACTTTTTTTTAATTATTTATTTAACATTTACAAGTATTACAGATAGAGTAGATTATGGTTATTTACTAGGTCAAAAGAGTACTAGGAACAACTAAATAAGTGCGTTTGATAAGGTAGTGCTTGGATAATTTCTCTCAATAGTCAATACATATCTTATAACTTTGTTGTTTTTGCATCAAATAATTTGACTTCGTTTTAAAAGGTACATTAAACAAGATACATATATGATAGATTGCGGGAAATTCCATGTGACAAGTGCAAAGGAAGACCCTGTTTTTCGAGGTTATACCGACATGTACAATAATGCATGCCACTTTTATTTGAATAAATGCCATCTAGATCTTCCTTTAGATCCACTTCCTCTAGACGTACTCGGGTGCAAGTCAATACATTCGAGGAATACATTGGTCAAAACAGCTCGAGTTTCCAAGGATGCCTTCAAAATTGCTACCCCCTGCAAGCATAATTAATAAATACTTTAGATACTCAACTCATGTTTTAGTACTATGTATTAGGGGTAATGTTATATGTAACTCTAAGGGCTAAATATAAGCATTAAATACACTATTGAAAATTCTATAAAATTAGGAATTCATGACAAAAACACGCGTAAATCAGTGTAATTAGTGTTTATATTTTTATGATTTCTTAACTTTTTATGATTTTCAAGTGTTAATTTAATGTTTATATGTAACCCTAAGGGCTATGTATGACATTTTCCATGTATTAGTTATAAATAGTTAGATCGTAATTGTAATCAAAATTTGAAGAATATATATGGATGAGTACCTGATTAAGACCAACTCGAACATTCCTCTCGATCAATGAAGAAGCATCCTTGACATGAAACTTTTTCATAAGAGTAACAACAGAAGAGGTAGACATAGGTTTGACTTCCAAATTGTCCATTACCATATAAGTCAATACTCCTCCCATCACATATCCAGCACCAGTTTTATTGCATGGTTTTTCAACATCCTCAGAATTAACTGGGCCATCATTATTATTTATGGACAATGAAGGAACACTAACATTGCTTAGATTTTCAACCTCATCCTCAGAAGCTAGGGCATCATCATGTATGGACAGCAAAGGTACACTAACAGAACCTCTTGGCTTCAACACCGCGTCTCTATCAACATTTTCTTGCAAGTACTCACCATTGAGAGACTCAATACTCGTGTAAAGTTCGCCTAGGCAACCCGCCATGTTTTCCTTTGATTTGATGAGCTTCATAAGGGTACCTAATGGAAGTGACATGACGTTGAAGAGGAAATCTACGAAGTCTTTACCAGCTTCCGCATAAAGAACCTTTGCCTTATCCCCCTCCATGTTTACCAACAGCTTCAAAGGCATTGTTACCTCCATTTCTTCTTTCATTCTTTGCATTCTACCCACATTTAAAATGTTAAGCCAATGATGATTAGTATTATTGATTATCTTCTTATACAATGGTCAATTTTTCTTGGTTGACTTTAAGAATGAAAATCCAATATATGTACCAATAGACCCTCAAAAAAATTACCTCGAGTCCTCGACCACGTAAAGGAATGCGCAGCTGAAAATTAAGACTTCGTATTGACGTTTTCCCCTTCTATCCCTAGCAATTAAGATCAATGACACAACTTTAATTTTTAGCCTTCAACCCATTAAAAAGATTAAATTTGTTCAACATATAATATTTGAAACAAAAAATCATTACGGAATATAATTTACAATAAAATATAAACCATTAAAGAAAAACAAATTCACCAACTAATCCCTCAATTTAACAAAAGAAATTCAATCGATTTAATTCACAACATGATTTAATAGCTTGCAATATATTTTACACTAAATGGAATACAGCAAAATCACCAACCAAAACATCAATAAATCAACACGGTAGAAAGAACAATGGAGAGAAGGGTGCAGGTGGTGATTTCGAAGGAAATAAAAAGAAAAAAGAGAGGAGAAGCCTTCATACCAAAGATACGAGCATTGTTTTTGGCTTCTAATTTTTTAAAACAAAATCTTTAAAACTACTTTAAGGGGTTTTAGTCTTTAGATTTCTCCGAAAAAGTTGTAATGATGTTTTTAAAAGCTATTTTGCCACTCTGTTTTGTTCTATTTTGAGGAAAAATTTCAACAACAAAAACTAAAAATGACAACGATGCGCTTTGAATGAATGAAAAAAAAAAATGACAACCCTTAATTATGCTAGTTAGTATTCACAGTTATCCTGACAATTAGAGCTAATACAAATATGTGATACATGGAACTATGGAAGTCAATTAGAGACAAATTATCTAGACAGTAAAAACACAATGTAGTTGATAAAAATGACTTTGTTTTATTTTTCTTATGAAATACTCCTGCATTCATGCTAATCTATTAGCTATAACTCTATAAGTTGTTTTGAAGAATAAACTTATGTTTTAAACTTAATTGCGCAATAAAATTACTATGGAATAATACTTCTAATAAAAGTATAAAACCACATAAGTGGTTAGTCATACACAATGACGGGATATACAAAATTAATCATATCAAATTGATAGTCGTCAATAATAAATGTCTAACGTGAGTGTAAAATGAAAATTTTTCTAATTTGAAATATTATGCTTAGAGCTATTAAAATCTAACTCGATTTGATTATTTTTTTTATAACGGTTAAATTAATTAACCCCATTTTTAAAAAAAAAAAATCTACTACATAATCAATTTGTATGACAAACTAATCCTACGTCAATGATTCTATAAAATTACCCAAAATAGTTAGTCACTATACATTACCGACTATAATAATTTTTTTTTTTTACAATGTGATATACTATGAGCCGACCCGCTAAAAACCCGAAACTGGCTTGAAAAAAACCCGAAAAGTCCGATTACACCCTTAGACGGTTAGACATTAGTTGATGGTCATTAGGAAACACGTGCATAGAAGTGGGTTATGTAACTCGCACACCAAATTGGCCAAATGTATAAACCCACCGAATAGGCCCAATTGAAAGTCCAATACCCTAATTAAACCCTAGCTTCGTCTCCTCTTAAACTTTCAGCCCCTGCCTCTTCCCCCTTTCCCTTCCCCTGCAATCTTAAGCTCAACCGCCAGAAAAACTCAAAAATGGTGAAGGGTCGTCAAGGCGAGCGCGTCAGGCTCTATGTCCGTGGATCAATCCTCGGCTACAAGAGGTAATAACCCAGATTTCTCTCTTCAAATCTTCAACTGGGTATTGTTTGATTTTCTCAAATCATGAAAATTTGATCTGGGTTTTGATTGTTGTGTTCTGTAATTAGGTCAAAGTCGAACCAGTACCCAAACACTTCTTTGGTTCAAATTGAAGGAGTTAACACTCAAGAAGAAGTAGCCTGGTATTTGGGTAAGAGATTGGCTTACATTTACAAGGCTGAGACTAAGAAGAATGGGTCCCACTATCGTTGCATTTGGGGCAAGGTTTGCAGACCTCATGGTAACAGTGGTGTTGTTCGTGCTAAGTTCACCTCCAACCTTCCTCCTAAATCCATGGTAAATCAATTTTTATTTGCGTTCTTTGTTTTTTGATTCAAAGTTGTTTGAAAAGTTGATTTTTTGCTGATTTAGTTGTTTATATTGTTGTTGCAGGGTGACAAGATTAGGGTTATGATGTACCCCAGCAATATCTAAGGTATTTGTTATTGTTAATTTCATTTATAGTTTATGATATTGCAGCTTTATCCATTTTGATGGTAAATTATATTGGCATATTATAATGATATTGAATATGCAGTTCTATGTATGCTATGTGAATGAAATTTTAGCCCATTAGTTGGATATGCTCTGTGACTAATGTGATGATCAGGGGTTAATCAATTGCAAACTGTTTAGGGTAATGTAGTGTAAATGTTGTTGATTCTTATCGTTTTGTTGTGGTACGCAATAGTAGAAGGTTTCATGTAGAAATATTAGTACAGTAGTGCCAATTATGCTTGTATCTATTGGTGTTTCATTGGAGCTTGGAGAGATGAGTGCATATCAGGATTGAAACTATTAAAGACTGATCATGTGCTAAGATGCATTAGGTACTTCCGTACTTGGGAATATAAATGTACCATTTAATCCTGTTAAAATACACTGAGATGTCATTATAGTCTAGTAGAAAACCCAGTATTTTAGTTTAGGACTTAGGAGCTTAATATGTATATGTAACTAGGCTCTAAGTCATGGGAGCGTCCTGAATTAAAATTACCGAATGTTGATCAAATATTATAAAATTTTAAGTTGAATGGATTAGTGAGCTGTTTAGATCTAATGAAATTGTTGTTTAAAGCTGTAACTTCAGACATTCCTAAGTCCTAAGGCAGGATAGTTGTAACAAAGATTGTAGTGATTATCTATAATTGAGTTGTTGAAGAAGGTAGTTTATCAGTGTGATTATGTTCCAAGTTGTTAGATCGCCTTAGATGTTTTTTTTTGGTTAATTATGTAGAAAGAGTTGCGGCACTAACTTGACAATAGTTTTAAACCATTGTTCATTGATTTAAAAGCCAAAGACCTCTCCAAATACACTTCCACAAACCAGTGAACCACAACTAGTGAAGACATTTTGTAGTGTCAAGTAGAAATAGATAGATGTGATTTCTGAAATGCTGTTGTTCGAGTTAGAAATCAAACTTTCTTGGGTCAAGAATAGTTTTATTAACTATAGTGATTAGTGAGTTTGGCTTGTTTTATGTAGTGTTGTGATAAGCCTCTTGGCTGTTTAGAGGATGATCGTTTTTGAAACCCTGGCTCACTTTCTACTGCCATTCATGTTTGCCTTTAGGTTTCCCATCATTCTTGATCTGTGCCCGACTTAAATTCTTTTATTCCTTCACTTTTGAATTTATTAGTCTTCTCCATTAATATGATTATCCAGTTGTATACTTGTATTATTTATATGCAGATGAACCTATTATAGAGTGATACCCTGTATGATTTATTAGTAGATTCTTGCATTTTGGAGTTTCTGTTTTCATTTCTGTTTATAAACATAACAAGATTTGTTGGCTAATTACTTGATAAACAATTGTCTTGCAGAAATTAGCAATGAGAAGAGATGGTGAAGTGCAGAATTGTTGGAGGATAGCTATTCTATTGAAATCCAAGAAGGGCCATTTTCTTGACATTTCTAACTTGTATGTTATGTGGTCATCATTTTTGCACTAGGATGTATTGAAGATTTACCTGTTTCTGACATCTGAAATTTTGGGTCTAAATTGATATGTTTAGTATATTACTGCTGATATTTATGATCGCTTGCTTCATGGTTCATGATTGTTCATTTTGTGATGATCTACATAGTCTCTCCAATACTTGCTGCTTTATGTGCTACAACTACTGGTTTTGGTAGGTAACTGCTAATTCGTAAGCTGGGTGTAGCAATGGAGTAGAACTTTAGAGCACTCGTCTAGAGCTGTAAAAAGCAAGTCTGTTAAGAGAATTTTCCCACCCAAGACATGAACCAATATCTGATCTTCATGATTATATTTACTTGGCATGACTCAAATGCTAGAATGACCTAAGTCGAACTGTGTGCCCAATTTTGTTGACTCATCTAACTGAGAAATTAGAGTCAGCGCAAGTTTCTATGTGGTAGAAAATGGTCATTGATCATTCAGTGTCCCTTGTAAGTTGTATACGGAGTACTTCTATGGCTGTAAGCTTTGTAATTAGTGAGCTTGCATCTTCCAGTTCATAGGTTAATTTTGTGGAAATTACCTAGTGTTTTAATATCAAGATTTGTGTTTCATGTCAAATGAAACTAGCTTGTCTCCAGGGTGCTGATTGTGTTCCAATGACACAATCATTGGTACCATGCCATTTGAGTTGTGCTATGTCAAGCAGATTTTGGTTGTAAAACAGAAAATGCGCAAGACTAAGTAACTTAGTATAGTATATAAAAACTCTGAATTTAACACAATTAAACGCACTTCTCAGTATAAGAAAGAGTAATTGAAATCATGGTCTCACAAATACATGAAATAAACTTGGGAGTAAGGTAACTCCTTATGTCACTTTAAAAAGCTAAGTTGATGCAACTATTGTTACTTGTGAGCAATGATCTTGTATTCTTCTATCCCTTTTTTGTTTGCCTTATACTCTACTTGGAGTCTTAGAGTGCTCCTTTGAGATTTGTTTTATTGACTTATATATAGCTAGAAATTTCAGTACTCGCACTTGTTCTTTCTTTCCCTCTCCTCATTAACCTTACTTGCAGCCCCATGTGTGGAGCAATAGAAAAGGATCAGAGGGAATATATACTTGGTACAAATCGTGTGACTGTGTGAGCATGACTACCCAGTCGATAGTCCAGTATAAGGTGCATGTATGTTACGAGTATGATGTTTGCACAATTTATGTCAATAAATAAGGGCATGTTCACATCATTATTTTTCTTCTAAATTTAAAAATTCCAAGGACTACATGAAAACTTACCTAGATGACATTGTTAAATTATAATTACACATTTTTACAAAAAAGAAAATAAATAAATTATAATTATACATGAACCGAAAGTAAAAGAAAACGTATATGATTCATGATGTGCATGTGTTCCTTGTATCGGATTTCTGTTTGTTCTTGATTTATTTAAGAAGGGTCAAGTTGCGTCCTTCCAATTATTTTATATTCGTAGTACCTGTACTAATTACACCCTTGGGAATTTGGCCTTTCAAAAAAGGCTATATACGAGTACAAATTATTGTTATGTTTGAAAGTTAGTTAATGGGTATCTTTCTGTGACAAAGAATATAGAAAAGATGGTTAGGTAAATGGTTATTTTATTAGGTTTAAGTAGTTAGATTAATAGGTTATTCTACCTTTGTTTTAAGTTTCATGATACGGTTATTATTTATATGTTTTTACCGTTTACCAAACAAATTGAATTTCAGTTCAATTCAGTTCAGCTCAGTTTAGTTCAGTTCAGTTCAATTCCTAATTTCCTTCTCTTATAAAACATTCATTTCAGTTCAGCTCAGCTCAGTTCAGTTTAGTTCAGCTAAATTCAGTCAATGAGAACAGGTCCTTAATCACAAAGTAGAAATAAAAGCAGCCATAAAAATAAAATTAATACAAAGTACTTCGCTAGGAACTTATAGTGGCATGCCTGGAAAATCATTGCTTAAGAAAGTACTGTAGTTAATTTTATGAAGTATTATGGTTATGTACTTCGTAAAATTTCTGTTTATTTTACAAGAATCTCTTTGTGCTTTCTTTAAAAAAAAAAAAAAAAAAACTATAATTATGTGCTTATCTTGAATCAAAATATCTAGGATAGTTTACCATATTTCTTGATCATACACTTAAACAATTGATTAATTTATCATAAAGATCTCCTTGAATTGTTCGAAACTGATTTCACTCTTTATGGTATATCCATATATGTAAACTTGTAAAGTATGAAATTGAGTGGATCATCATCTTCAATCACATGACATTTGCAAACAATAAGGTAAATTATCACTAAAGCAAAAATTAAGTTGTAAATCCACATGGTAGTAGACCCATAAATTGTTAGTGGGAGAATCGTAGAAAACTTAATAAATTAAAGCGACTACTTTTTTAGTCATGGTACGAACTTAAATAAGACTTCAAAAATTGTTAATTTTCCACATTTGCTTGGTCCTCCCTAGGGTTGGGTGAGTCACTCAAATAATGTCGAGAATTAAAATAATAAATGAATGATGAGATTATTACCTTTACATTTTTTAAATGAGTTGGAGTATAATATTATCTCCAATATAAAGACATATATTAGAGCTTATGTTGACATGTCTTAGCTATTAAAGTTCAATATTTTAGATATAGTCGAACTATACTTGGTAGATCATGGCGGATTAGTGGAAGTTCATTCATTCTTATTGTGCACACCTAATAAATAAAAAAGTAATCAATGAGAATTATTGCAAAGTGTTTATTTCTAAAATAATATTGAAAAATTGTTATTTTATTGGGTTAGTTATTGAAATTTAAAATAAGTGGATGCCGATATGTATGTATTTTGTATGATTAATTTATACAATTTTCATGAATAAATAATATAATTAATTTATCAATTGGTTGGCAAGTTAAGATCAACCATTTTAGTTGAATTTTATATAAGCAAATAATTTTGTATTTTATTAATCCTTATAAGTTAATTATGTATCATTGGAGAGGGTTAGAAGATGATTTTCAAACAATCAAATGCTAATACTCTTTAAATTTCAGACTTGTTCCCTTACCCAAATGCTGAATTGCATAAGTACCTTATCCATCCATTACTCATCTCACTCATTTGCTTCTAACACCTACCAAATTCAAGTATGCAACACCAAATCAAGTACTCCGTATTGTAATTTAGAATATTGATCAACACAATTGTTTGATAATTTAACACACATTTTATAAAGTGAAATTAGCACTAACTCTAAAGTCTTACAAAATTTACAAATTAGTATAATCTCAATTCCATTTCTCATTTTCTTTTTGTCCTATCATATTTGTGTTGATTGGGTATATGAATTTTGCATTTATACCCCTATTCTACGCAAAAAGACACATTTAAAGTCCACTTACGCTATTTTAAATTACCAATCTTCTTTTACCGCAGTGGTGAATCACATGTGAAAATATAAAATACAAGTAGTTATATTCAAAGACATTGTTAAATATACAAGGGTGAAGCAAGTGGGTGCCATATTATTATTATTATTTTTTTTACATTTTTATCTCTGTATTTTCATGCCTATATTCAATTTTATAACTTGATTTAAACTAACGTGGGACACAATATCCACAAAATTGGCCCCATTTCACACCCTTAAATTGTTAGAGAACACAAACTAAACTTCACTATCTCAAGTGTTTTCAAATTTATAAATTTTCAATTTTCGTCACCAATAAATTTCCATAAATTAAAGGTAGAGTAATTGAGTAAAGGACAAATAAAATAAGCAAAAATTAGAAACAGAAAACGACTCTACAAATAAATATTTTCCTTTTTTTTTCTCTTTAATAAAATTAGAAACGACCGACGACTCACCCATCATCCGCCATTGCCAATATCTTCAATCTCTCTCCTCTTTCTCTCTCTACAAACACACAATCAACGCGTTTTCACCTTCGAACTTTCTCTCTCCTCCCTCACCTTCTTCTCACATTCCCATTTCACTATCCCTAAAACTCGTGGTCTTCTTCAACCTACGACAATCCAAATTCCCCATTTTCAATTTCTTCAATTTTCTCTCTCCTCAGATTTTCGACTTGATTGATTGGTTGATTAATGTGATTCGTACAATTACAGCAATCAAACCTCTTTGCTGTTCGATTCACTTTTCGAATTTTCGATTCCCTCAAAAATGTCAGATCTCTAGCAAAAATTGAAGATCCACAAACAATTTCTAGGGTTTTGAATTAGTTCGTCGTTTTTCCGGGTCTTAATTAACCAATAATACGAGGTATCTGAAATTCAGAAGAAAATTTAGATGAAAACGACGAGCAGATTCTTCACAATAGGGCTGGTAACAGCATGGTATTCATCAAATATTGGGGTATTATTGCTGAACAAGTATTTGTTAAGCAATTACGGGTTTAAGTACCCGATCTTCCTTACTATGTGTCATATGACTGCTTGTTCATTGCTGAGCTACATTGCTATAGCTTGGATGAAGATGGTGCCAATGCAAACAATCCGATCTCGAGTTCAATTCTTTAAGATCGCAGCTCTTAGTCTTATTTTCTGTGCTTCTGTTGTTAGTGGCAATATTTCATTGAAATATCTTCCTGTTTCATTTAATCAAGCAATTGGTGCAACTACGCCTTTCTTCACTGCTGTTTTTGCTTATCTTATGACATTTAAGAGGGAGGCTTGGCTTACTTATGCTACCCTTGTTCCTGTTGTTACTGGAGTTATTATTGCTAGTGGGGTAATTTCTTTTTTCTTTATTTCAACTTCAATTTCATTTTATTGCAAATTGTTGTTGATTTGTCCTGTAAAGATTGTGGCTTTAGGTTATTTGTGAATTTTGTAAATTACATTAATTTGTCAATGAATAACAAAAATTGGATGTGTTAGTTAGGCTGATTTTCCTTTCATGTCTGGAGGAAGTTAATGTATTTTCTTAGGGGTGCTTTTTGTTTTGTTTTAAATTGAATATTATAAATCGGATTTGGGTGGTTGAAGTAGGCATTAGCTGTAGCTTTACTGATTTATTGGTAAATTTGCTAAAATTTGTGAGGTATTAAGTGACATATAGATTAATACAGTAGATGTTAGCTGTTTGATTGATCTG